TAAGCTTAGAAGTTTTCATGCAGGCCCCCACATTTGTACCCTAAAGTTCAGAGTGGGGAAGCAGCCTTGACAGCCCTATATCCAAAACACCCTCCCCACCCCAGGACCCTGCTGTCTTGTCCTCTCATCCATCTCCCTATTGTCCCGAGCCCCCACTGCCTCCCCCGGTCCCGCATCCATCCCACCATCCCCTCTGGCCCCTGCTGCCTCTCCCTTCGCCCCCCCCCCATCCACGGCTTAATGGGTCCCGGGATTTGCTGAGAAAAGTGATATTAACAAACATGCAAGTATCGCTTTTCACAGCAGACTTACTAGCTATCTGTGAAAAGTGATACTTGTGTGTTTGTTAATAACACTTTTCATAGCCTCCCAGGGAGCTACTAAGTGTGCTGTGATATTAACAAATATACAAATATCACTTTTCATAGCAAGCCCCAGGACCCACTAAGCCCTGGATATGTGTGTGTAGAGGGAGATGGGGTGGCGGGGGAGCTGAAGGGGAAGTCAGCATTATTTTTGTTATTGAATCTGCCAAAAAACCCTACAAATATACATTACAATGATTTGGATGTGCATCTGTGCATATTTAATTGTCCTTCCTAAAGTTAACTAAGTATATTAGGGGACCATGAGTTGGTGGCCGCACTCTGAGGCCACCAAAACATTTGTTGCGAGAACCCCTGCTCTAGGCCTTCAAAGTAGACTGGATAATGCGTCTTGCATTCGCCAATGTGGGGTAGAGGAGTTGACGACTTACACAGTATTTGGCTTCTAGGAATGATCAGAAGTGCTGAGCACCTACAACTAGGAATCTGGCCCCCAAATTAAAAAATCCTTCGGAGAGAAAGATTCACAGGTGCTGCTAGGCAGATCTGGGGGCCAAGAGCCAGTCGGAATTCAGTGGAGCTCAGGCAATGAAATCAGCTGTTTTTGCCAAAACGCTACACCCATAAACTGGCTATCAGCTTATTGGTAAAAACTGCAGTGCTCAGCCAGGCGTGCCCTGAAAGATGTTATGATTAAATATTTCTGTGACCTTAAAGGACTCCCTCCCACAGACCTGACCTTGGGTTCTTCTTCCTCGAATGAATAACCCTGACAATTCAATGAATGTCTGGGGGCAGGGGCTCTACCCGGGCCCTATGAACAAGCATGGTGGCATTTGACATCCCATTGTGCTTGCTACTCTGATATAAGTGGCTAGACCAGGTGCTTAGAGGGTGAGGGGAAGGGGAATAATTTGGCGGCTTGGGAGGCAGCGTGGGAAGGTCAGGTCAAAGGACTGGGATGAACCTCAGGCTGGGGAATTTTATGTGTACTTTGTGGTTATAAACACTAACCCTGGAGGAAG